TTTCAAGATCTATCTCAATAAAGTCTCGATGTATTCATTGAGAAGTTTGATTGTTTTGATTAAGTGTTGTAATTTAAAATATTAATGTGAATTATAAGCATTTATTGCTTACTTGTTTGTATCTTTGGATATGGGTTGTAACAAGGTTGTTTAGGTATATCCTGTGTTGTCCATTGCTCCGATGGATGGGATCGTACTGCTCAAACAGTATCCCTAGCTCAACTGCTGCTAGATCCCTTCTTTCGGACAATCCATGGATTTCAGGTACATTTTTTTAGTTTTGTATCCCGTTTCCAGTTTTTGTAGTTTCTTCTTGTTCTTTCGAAGCTCGCTTAGGGTCTTCTTATAGTTCATCCGTGTCTGAAAGCATACATTCTAGGTCCTGATAGAAAAAGACTGGTTAGGATTTGGTCATAAGTTTGATGACAGATGTGCCCATATTGGAGCACTGAATGATGAAGCGGCCAAAGAGGTGAGACTTGGAACCATTACTTTTTTCCTTCATGTTTGATGTATCTTTCAGGTTTCTCCGATTTTTTCTCAATTCCTCGACTGTGTCCATCAGATTATGAAACAGCGTCCGAGAGCGTTCCAGGTTAGCATTTTGTCTAACATCTTTCTCTGCACAATTCTGAGAAAATTCTAAAAAATTATTTTCAAATTTGAACAGTAAATATTTTCCAGTTTAATGATCGATATCTTATCGATATTCATGAACATGTGTACTCATGCCAGTTTGGTACGTTTATTGGGAATTGCGAAAAGGATAGAAAGGTTCTTTTTTTTGTATTTTTGGCTTACTATCACTATTTGAAAATATTCGCATTTTGCTGCAGTAGAAGTTTTTATTTTAGGATTTGCACATAGAGAAGAGAACGAAGTCATTGTGGACATATTTGGATCATCGTCAAGATGATTATCTCAATCCATTTTATGAGGTAAGTGCTTATCAGTGCAAAGAGAATGGTTTCGGTTAGGGGACATAATTGTACCCCTTGTGAGTGGTTCTTTTTGGGGGAAGCATCACAGTTTGTTTTTCTTCAAATCTGTTCGAATCACTGTAAAACGGGCATTTCTCTGATCAGGGTAAAGCACCTTTCTTTTTTTCTTGAAACCGCTCCAGTGTTTCTTCTAAAGTGGAGAGAATGAACTGATAAATCTTATTTTCAAATGAGCGGGTGATAAATCGTCCCTTCCAGCCAACGACATTCGGTGTACTGTCTGGGATTGAGACAAGAGCAGCGGCGTTCAAAGTTTGGC